CAAGCAAAATAAATTGGTTTAGATGTCCTGAAAACTTCTGCACAGCGTCACGCTCTTTTGAATCATGTTTCAACATGGAGTTATAGGTGTCTGTTTTTTCACAAAACATTAACTTCTGAGCCGTAAGAGCCATGGTGTTGCGACATTTCTTCAGTTCTCTGGGATTCCCTCCAAGCTGCCGACAGACGTTGATCCCCAAAGTTTTCAGCCCTGGGCAGCAAAAGACCCATCATCAATTGCAAGACCCATCTGATGCTGAGATTTTTAAAATGTGCATCTCAGAAACAAGGAAAAAAATGGTCAGACCCGATGTGTCTCAGCACATTCCCACTACTTTAGAACTTACCAGAAAAAAGTGCAGGATCCCGAAATTTCCCTCAGCCCTTTACATGGCAAAACCCAGGGTCTGTCTCCAGATGTCTGTGGTTTGGCTTTTCCTGGTGGCAGGCCCACTTCAGGTAGGAGGATGACAGCTTCAGAGCCGGCCCCACAGCAGAACCTGTTGCCAAGGACTAATTTCAATTCTGCCAAACGAACGCTTGGATCCCTGGGAAGATCTGGGGGTCCCTGGGGTTCCCCACCTGGAGCTGCGTGCTGAGGGAGGGTGGGCCTGCAACAGGGTTCTTAGGCCCCAAACCCTTTTTTATAACATTTTGAGACTTCTGGAGGCAGGAGGAATTTCAGAGTGTCTATCCATGCCATTTATTTCTAAGTTCATTACATGTTGTGGTCGCAGAATGTGATAGTACTTCAGCATTTCGGAGAGGGTGGTACACGGCTGGAGAAAATTTCCTGAGGCTTTCTAAGACCCAATATATCACTAATTCGGGAAATGTTCCCTGGGTTCTTAAAGGTATTTCCTTTGCTTCAAGTTATATTCCAAATTTGTTTTAGGTAAAGTATATTATTTTGTTGGCCCTTGTGCCTAAGGTTTTAGATTTGGAGTATGGAAATAAGCGTATGTCTATCTCTTATGGATGTTTTGACTAAGTATGTTAATACATGAAAAGAGGTTAGAATAGTGCCTGTCACACAGAAAATACTAAAATAATGTTAATTGTTGCCATCACTTTGTTAATTTTTATATCCTAGATTCCATACTTTAACCTAGACATTTTATCTGCCAAGGATTGAGGAAATGTGTGATCCCCCAATATTGTTGATTTCTTCTTATGTTTCCAATAGATTTTGCTGGATATAATCTGAAATTCATGTGATCGCTGTGGATCATCTCTTGATCAATTCAAGAATTCTTAGTTTCACCTAATGCTTCTAGTTTGGCTCTAATTCTGATGCCATTCACTAATCTCATCACAGAGAAAATGTTTCCTTCTCTATTTAAAAGGAAGATTAATTTGTCTGAGTGGAGTAGAGAGCTTGGGGGGTGGAAATCTGATTTCTGTGCAATAAGCTGAAACTCACAGAAAGCATCCCTTCCCACTTGTCCACCGTTGCCCGGGTCTGTCTCCTTAGCAGTTTCTGAAGGTGTCAAGTAACTGAGGAAGGTGACAGCCACTCTTTCCTCAAATGTCTCTGCCTAAAAGCAGCAGCTCCGCTGCACACTCGATAGCAGAGGGAGCCGGTGGCTCAGACAGCACGGGGCCCAGAAGTGTTAACGCAGCAGCAGCAGCCATTACTCCAGGCAAAAGCACAGAACTGAGAGGGGAGACCATCTTGCTGACCAAGCAGGAATGTGTGTTTGGGGGGAGGCAGCCTAGGCCACTCACCTTGCCAGGAACAAAATGCGCTAAACAAGCAGGAGCAAAGGGGGGCGGCTTTGTGCGCTGTAGCTGTGCTGGGTGCGGCTCTGCAAAGCTGCGTCCCAGGTGCTGCCTCGGTTAACCCTCATCACAGGAACCTCAAACCGGTATTTCAGATACGGAAGAGGAGGTCAAGTCCTGCCTGAGAGTCACCGCAGCCGCTAGTGCGGGTCCAGGATTGCCAGGGAACTTCCCGTTTTCGCTCTACCCCTGGTGACCGGGTTGAACAAGGCCAAGGGAATGAATCCGACATGGGCAACCAAGCCGGTTTCCTTATCCCGCAGCAGGATGGGGGGGTTGGGGGAGGCAAGGGGGCGAGTGAAATGGACCAGGCCACAGATGAACACTGAGGACGCTCACTGACACGTGGCCTAGTGACTGGGAGGGGGGTGTGGGATGACACAGGAGAGTCATGGCCTCACCCTCCCAATAGTCATCAGAGACCTGAAAAATAAGAATATTTGGTCTAAATAAATAAGCGATGACAACTGCAGGGGGACACGGTGCTGAGATACTCGTACTATAGACACTAGGAACGGTGTACGAGGCTGGACCCGACACATCTCATCATGAGCGCCGTGCAGATGTGCCCGGGTGGGATCCTGAGGGGAGGGACCTAACCAGCTCTGTGGTCATGGCCCAGTTGCTCCCGTCTCCCTGGGCCTCAGGGGCTTCCCCTCCCCTGCAGAGATGAGCTGGAGGCTGTGATATAAATCGCAGGTGGGCGGGGATCCCAGAGGCACCCACTGTCCGTTTCCTCCGGGCGGCCCTCGCTGAGGGCTTCATCTGGCATTTACAAAAGGCTCAGGGTTAGGTTAGGAAAAAGGCAGAGTCTTAACTTCTCTGGGTGTCTACCTACCTGACCTCTGCAGCTGCTCCCCTGCCCTACCTTCAAAGGCGGAGAAGGGTTCCTGGGGCCCACGCGGCTCTCTGTTGCCTTTCCAGACCGCGATTCACCCCTCCTTTCTTCAAAAGCCTCCTCCTCGCAGGTTCCTTCTGTCCAGTTGTGCCCGCTTTCCCCTCCTGCCGCTGTCACTGGCCTTTTGATCCCTCCTCCTGTTCGAAGAGGATGCTGGCTCTGAGTTCACACTCCCTTCTCCAACATGTCAGTTTCTTGCTTCGTTACCCACCTGGACCGTGACTTTACCTGTGACTGTTCGGCCCTCTTCTGGCTCAATGACACCTCCCCACCCCACCCCATGTTGGGGTTCTCCTCATTGAGACCACCAATTTGCTACCACCTCTGAAGTTACCTCCTGTGTTCATGAACCTCGCCTCGTACCCCACAGCCCATCATCACTTCTCCTGTAATCCTACTGCCTCTCTCTCCCTTCCTATACTCTTCTGGCAAAACCCCAAGTCTGCGTCAAGTGTCTTCACGCCAGCTGACCACCCATGTGGGGGACAACATGTGCACGGGTGCACACACCCCTGACACATCTGAGCGCCTCAATTCCTATTCTAAACTGACCACCTCACAGGTCAGCCCTGCCCTGCCTTTCTACTGTTTCTCTAATTGACTCGCTTTTCAATAGCAAGATGAATGACTACTTCATACCTTCTGAGAACATCTTCCAGCCACATCCAGCTGATGGTCTCACGTCATTTCACCAAGAGATTCAACCTCCATTATCTCACCATTAGTTTAGCCCTTCTCATCCTCCACTCTTTCCCGTCCTCTACTTCTTGAGCCCTATTAGGCTGCAGAACTGTCCCTCCTTTTTCTTGGGCTGTACCCTTCAGTGACCCTCCCCTCCTCCATCCCCACACCATCCCTCCCTCTCCACTCTCCACAGTAATTGTTCCATCCACATACACACGCTCTACCTCACTCTGCAAACACTCCCCTGGCCCCACAGTTCTCGTTATCACACCATTTCTCCACATCCCTTTAGGACCAACTTCTCACTCTGTCCACTCCCCCACTCTCCATTCACTCAACCAACTCCAGTCTGCCTTCCACTCCCACGCCGTCCTGAAATTGCTCCCATCAAAGTTATCCAAAGCTCCATACTACTAATGCCAGTAGACAGTTCTGCCCTCATTTTACCCAAACTCTGACAAGCACTTGGCACAGCCCAGTTTCTTAAAGCAGCTTCCTCTCAACTTCTGACCCTCTGTAACGTGTCCTCTCCTCCCCCAAACTCTCAGGGTTGGGCTTCCTTGGGCTTCTCTTTTCTCCCCCTGGATGACCTCCTCCAGCCTGACAAATTGCTCTATCATCTTTATGCAGATGCCCCACAGATTTGTATCTCAACATGCCCACAATGACCCTGATTCTACCCCTTCCAAAAGCTTGCTATTCCCTCAATTTTCCCTTTATCTACAAGTTGAATAACCTAACACACAAACTGAAAGCCACCCTTGGACCCTCTTTTCCCTCACCGCACCCCAACCAGTCCATCAGAGGGCCGGTCAATGCCACTACTGTCTCCCTCAAATGCATCCACTTCTCTCCACCTCTACTGCCACGCTGGCCCAGATCACCACCATCTCCCATGTGAACTGCTGTGGCCGCCTCCCATCTCACTTTTTCTATCCCCTTTGAGTCCACTCTCCACACACTAAGCCCCTCACCATGGCCTCTTGCCTGACTCTCTAGCTTCATCTCTCCTTGCTCATCCCTATAGTCTAATTACACTGGCCTTTTTCCATTTCTAGCCCATCCTCTGGTAAATTAAAGACAGCTGCAAATTCCCTGCACTCCCAATGGAGAGATGGAGTCTAATTCCCCTACCCTTGTTTTGGGATAATTTGCCAATTCTTCCTCAGGACTTTCCTCCCTGGAAAACCTTAGAATATTCTTCCCACACTCCTACCTGGCTACTTCCTTCTCACCTTTCAGCTAAAATACTCTTCGGAGAAGGCCCTTCCAGACCACCTCAAGTGAAAAATATCAAGATAGGACCTGCATCAATCCATTATTTCCTTTTTAACACTGACAAAAATAATAGGCATCATAATGAAAATTATTAATCTTATCTTTCTCTCTAGAGCAGGGGTTGGCAACCTATGGCCCACAGGCTGGCCACCTCCTTTTAAAAATAGTCTTGCCTGGCCAGCTTGGCTCAGTGGTTCAATGTTGACCTATGAACCAGGAGGTCAGGGCACATGCTCGGGTTGCAGGCTCGATCCCCAGTGTGGGGTGTGAAAGAGGCAGCCTGATCAATGATTCTTATCATTGATGTTTTTCTCTCTCTCCCTCTTCCTTCCTATCTGAAATAAATAAAAATATACTTAAATATAAAGCGTTTTATTGGAACACAGCCACACCCATTTATTTATGTATTGTCCATTACTACTTTTGACATGGCAGAGTTGAACAGTTGCTACAAAGACCATGTGGCCCAACAAAGCCTAAAATATTTACCATTTAGCTCCCCGAAAGCTTCCCAGCCCCGAGGGGGGCAAGTCCTATGGCTCTCGTCTTTAGATCTCCAATTCCTCATACATACTGTTGAAAGAACAAGAGGGCCAGGAAGCCACTATAAACCCTTTACTGGGAAGCTCTTTTTATCAGAGCAGGGCTAGCTTAGGACTGCGTCAGCTTCCTTCTGATGTCCCCAGAGTCTAAAGGGTCCCAAAGATGAAAACCCTGAAGGAGATGCCCCAGGACTCAGATGTGTCAAGTTCAAGGTCAGTCCAAGGAGACCAAACCATTTCCTCACATCTTTCTGCTCAGTTTCGGAAGACAGCAGGGGGTTGGTTAGGACCCTTTAACCTCCTTTCAGGGGTCTACTGCTCTGGCCAATTCCCAGGCAAGGATGCGACCACTTTCAGAGGGAAAAGGGGGTCCTCTGCTTCTCTGTCCTCAATAATCGTGGGCTGGGCTAGACCCTGGAGGGCAGCCATGTATGCCTGTGGGAAGAGACCATGTAGGAGAGTGGTTCAGAAGCTCCTCCTCGGCAAGAGGATGGGATGGTGACAGCTTAGGCCCACGCATCCCACTTCCCAGTTAAACTAAACTTTGGGGGTCAGGGAGGCATCAGCTTGTGTGTGGGCGCAGACTTTACATTCAAATGTCTGGAGGCTGCCAGGCTGTGTGTGTGTGCAAATGTACAGGGAGGAGACAGGCTCTGAGATTCGCCAGGGCCCCTGGGGTGAGATGCAGCTTTTTGCCTCTGATGCCATGAGTTGCTGGGGGCCCTATGCTCAGAGCATATTGCACGTACTTCTCCTTTTAATCTGTCACCTCTCAGGCTCAGGCCCAGGGAAAGAAAACACTCCTTTCTCCTCCCTCTCTCACAAGCACAGAGGTCCTGATGGCAGAGCTGAGGCCTCACGGCCTGAGGACAGAGCCAGATTCCAGCAGTCCCAAGTCCTGGAGGGCTTCCAGCAGCTGCTCCCGTGCAGTTCCAATAAAGGTATTCTCCAGGAAGGCAGGCAGGCCGCCCACACCATCCTGCAGGGTGTACAGGGGCACCCGCACCAGGCCCAGCACCTGTGAAAGGAAAAGGACAGGAGACACTGGGCACCCAAGGCAGCTCATCCCGGCCCGTCGTTCTAGATCAGACACCTCACCCCGTATCCGTCCAGCACAACCAGGCCTGGGCACTCACATCTCAGTAAAGCCGGGTGGGCCTAGCTCTCTGCAGACAGGTGACCCGAGTCACGCTATCCAGCTCTAGAACCGTTAGTGGCTGCTGCCTCCAGGAGGCCTGCTTGGTCCTATACCAGTAGTTCTCAAAATGTGGCCCCCAGACCAGCCATAGCAGCAGCAGTTAGGAACTTCTGAAAAATACAGATTCTCAGGTCTTCCCCTCCCGCCTCCACTGAACCAGCAATTCTGGGAGGGGGGCCAGTAAGTACTGTTTGAATAGGCCTCCCAGATGATTCTGCTAACTACCAAAGTGTGAGAACCATCCCCATGTACCATCTGTCCCCCTGCTCCCCTGGCCTAAGTGCCAGGGTTTCCCCACGAAGTATCGGACCACATCTCTTATCCAGGGGCCCAGGGGGCAATGCCTGGCCATTAGAAAAGGGGAGCAGAAGAGAGGATGGTTTGGGTGCGTTCTAGAAAGTTAGCTGCAGAGGCCTGTAAAGGGGGAGTAATGGAGAAACTTCACGGGGGTGGGGGTAGGTGGGTCAGCCATCCAGATGAAAGCTAACCAAGGCTTCAACTACTCCAGGAAACCAGGGGCGAGGCTTTGGGTGGAGGAGGGAGGACGTGGGATGGGGGTTTCCAGGCTGGCCCCACCTCCAGCCCGTGGTCCTGGGCCAGCGGGGCGCCTCTCTCCACGGCGGTCAGCTGCTCCAGCGTCAGGCGCTTGGCATAGAAGTGGGCCACGACGTGCTGGCCGGACGACGCGTACGAGTTGCGGTAGTCGGCGCGCTCCACGCGGAAGGCGGCCGCGGCCTCGCCCAGCTCCTCGCTCAGCTCGCGGTTCAGCCCATCCTCCAGGCTGCCATCCGAAAAATTGACGAAGCCGCCCGGGAAGCCCAAACGCCCATCAAAGCGCATCTGCATCTGCACGACAGGGAAGCGGGGGTTGGCCGGGGCGCCAGAGGCCGGCCTCCGGGGAGGGAGGAGGGCGGGGAAGGGGCCTCCAGCTCCACCCTGCGGACCCCCGACGGGGCCGGACGCTCCCCCAAGGACCGACGCTCCCCCATGGCAGGACGCTCCCCCACCAGCTGTTCAGGAGGCCCACGTGGGCAGGCTGGTGGGTCTCAGCCTGGACCAATCCGAGCCTGGGCCCGGCGGTAAGGACCAATCCATGCAGGGCTCAGGCAGGTGCAGCCAATCAGGGTGGGGCTTGGGTGAAGTCGTTGGCGGTGGGACACTAGGATACCGAAACCTTCTTCTGGATTGGGCCGCGGGGCGTCCTGATTGCGGAGGGGGCGGGTAAATTATGTTCATAATCCCGCTTCTGTAGTTCTTCCCGAGGGGCCTGGAGAGTGGGACGCACGGAAGGGATTGTATCCTGAGCAGGATTCGCTTAGGGAGCACAAGGAGCGATCAGGGAACTGCATCTGGTTTGGTCTGGATGGTACATGAAGCACGTGGGCTGGGTGAGAGTTAGAAAGGAAATGAGACCCCCAGCTGGCCTGGCTCAGTGGTTCAGGGTGGACCTATGAACCAGGAGGTCACGGTGTGAATCCTGGTCAGGGCACATGCCCGGTAGGGCTCCATCCCCAGGAGGGGGGTGCAGGAGACAGTCAATGAATGATTCTTAGTTTCTGTCTCTCCTTCCCTCTCCCTTCCTCTCCGAAATCAATCAATATATATATAGGAAATGAGGTGGAGCTGGCCTTCCTGGGGCAATGGAGATGGAGAGGAGGGATGGTGTAACTCTCCTGAGTTGTGGAATTGTGAGGACTCCTTGGCTGATTGAATGTTGGGAGAGAATTGTACTGGGATGAGGTCAGAGTTTATGGTCTGGGTGGATGGTGGTGTCTTTTTTTTTATCCTCACCCTAGGATGTTTTTTATTGGAGAGAGAGAGAGAGAGAGAGAGAGAGAGAGAGAGAGAGACCCATTGCCTCCCATAGGCTCTCTGACCGTGGATCGAACCAGCAACCTGGGTATGTGCCCTGACCCTTCAGTGTACTGATGGATGCTCTAACCACTGAGCACCACTGGCCAAGGCTAAGGTGGTGTCATTTTTTTGAGATGGGGATTTAGGAGGGGTAGTCAATGAGAACTGTAGTTCTAGTCAAGAATTGGGAGTGGCAATAGGCAGTGGCTAGGGCAGATAGGCAGTTAGACAAGAGCAGTGCAAGGATGACGGGCCAGGTACAGAAGGTCACCAGAGCAGAAAGTCCCCTAGCATATCCTTGGTCATGCACTTAGACCCATTGACCTTTTTTTCTCCCCGGCATGTTGCTAGTCATGCAGGTTAGACCCCCTTAGAGGGGGAATAAACAAGGGGACCTGAGAATAGCCCTTAAGCATTAAGTCCCCAGGACAGTGAGGTTCTGATCCATCTCAAATACATCTAGGCCTCAGTTGTGTTTCAGCTCCTGGCCCAGAAAAGCAGCAAAAGCGGACAAGGAAAGCCGTGCCTGGCATCAGGACCAGCTGCGATAACTAATGGCTCAGTTGCCACAATCCTCAAAGGACTCACCTGGAAAACTGATGAATATTCTAGTGAGGTCCACCCCTGGGACCCTCCCTGAAATCCCCATCCTGAGAAGAAAGCCCTTGGGAAGGCGTGGGGAGCTCCCTAGCACCTTTCCTGGCACCGTACCTTTCTCTTTCTCTTTCTCCTAAACTCCAAGGACCCTTCTTTTGCCTCTGGAATTTGTTTCCTGAACCCATATCTTCTATGGCTCACTTCTACCTTTGTGACTTTCTAAGTAAACTTTCTCTCATAGTTTGAGTCTTGGCTCTGAATTTTTTTTTTAATCCTCACCAAATGATGTTTTTATTGATTTCAGAGAGAGAGAGAGAGGAAGGGAGAGAAAGAGGACGGAAAGGGAGGGGAGAGGAGAGAGAGAAACATCAATGTGAGAGAGATACATCTACTGGTTGCCTCCCGTTCATACTCGACCCATACATACTCAAACCCACAAGTTAGATATGTGCCCTGACTGAGAATCAAACCCACAATCTTTGGGTGCACGGACAACACTCCAACCAACTGAGCCACTCAGCCAAGTTACAGTACAATGAATTTTAATGTCTTCCCCTTTGAGGGAGGATCTGAATTCTTTCTTAGCCAGAACTCAAGTTCTGAGGTTGCTAAACCAAGGTCCAATCGCTGGTAACATTCTGGTGCTGTTTTCACCTCTGCCAACAAAATTTTCCAAGGAAGGGTAAGTGAGGAAAGAGCTGTGGGTGAAACCCTGTGGGCAACAGGAAGGAAAGTGAGGAAGGTTTAGAGGTAGAAGTGCTTAAGGCTTTCTAGACTTACCCTCACACACTTCCAGACCACCTAGCTGTGAAGGAAGGTGGGGGGCTACTCAGGACCTGATGCTGAGGGACAAGGATTCAGGATCTCTCACCCAGCCCAGGCCTTCCCCACCTTTTCTGAGGCTTTGCACTCTATGCAGATTACCTCTACATCAATAGTCAACATTTATTACACAGCGGAAAGGATGAGGCAGCTCCTTGAGAGGGCCTGGGCTTAAAGTCACAGCCTGTGACAGCACGGGACAGGGAAGAGCCCAAGAAGCCACCCAGACGCAGGCCTGTCACCTTAGCATCATTTAACTGCCAGATCACCTGTTAAATGGAGATACCAACCTACTAGGAATATTGAGAGGTTTAAAGCATCCAGAACAGTGCCAGCACCAAGTAGATGTAGCGTCCTTGGGGTTGAGGGTGGGCAGATTGTTGTCTTATGTTAAAGACCTGTTGGTTGGAAGTCAGCCACAATCATCAGGCCTCAGCATCCCTAGGGGAGAACGAGATGTCCCTGGCATCATCTTTGCTAGCTTATAGTCTTCTGAATAGCCTGATAGGCATAGCATCTACTAACATCAGGCACTGGGTCACGGTGACGAGACTGTGCCTGACACAACTCATTACCCCATCAGAGTTCTAGAGCACTTGGAAATGGCCCTGGGTAAACATTAGAGTCACCTGGCAAAAGCTCATAAAAACTTCCAGCAGTATTGGATTACAACTCAAGCCAGAAACAGATACCTGCATGTTCATACTGATATGGACAATGCACAAGTAAATCCATGGTGAGAAGAGAAATCTCTCATGCAGAAGAATCTGGAATAATGTACATACTCCCCCTCAAGGAGGTGGGCCACAAATGCCCACTCCGTAAATGTGAGTTGTGAATAGTGACTCCCTTCCAAAGAGGACAGTATGCCAAAGAGGTGTATGTGTTGGGGGAGAAACCTGACAAACATTACTTTAGCCAGGTGGTCAAGGTCAACATCAACAGTGGTAAGTCATGCTGATAGTACGTCCCCTTGACAATATGACGTGATGAATATGATACTTAATGTCAATGGTCTTCCTCTCAAAATGTCATAAACCCCATCTAACCATGAGAAAAGCATTAAACAAACTCCAGCAGAGGCACATTCTACAAAACACCTGATCAGCATGCTTCAAAACTGTGAAGGTCATCATCAAACAAGGAAAGTCTGAGAAACTGTCACAACAAAGAGGACCCTAAGGTTGCACGACTACAAATGCAACGCAGTATCCAGGATGGGATCCTGGACCAGAAAAGGGCATTAGATAAAAGCTAAGGAAATCTGAATAAAGTATGGACTTTGGTTAACAGTAATGTATCCATATCGGTTCATTATTGTAACAAATATTAATGTAAGATGTTAATAATAGGGGAAACTGGGTGAACTATGTGGGAACTCTGTACTTTCCTCGCAGTTTTTCTGTAAATCTAAAACTTCTAAAAAATAAAGTTTATTTGTAAAAAAATTAGGAGGCTGCAATCAGCAAAATCTAGACTGAAGGAAACTTTACAAGATAAATGATCTGGTTTCTTCAATAAATGAATTACAGGGGGAAAAGAGATGGAGGCAGAATCTATACATTAAAAGGGATTGAAAAGATGTACCATTTTAACTGATTGGGTTTTATTTGAATCCTAATTTGAAGAAACAAACTTAAGGAACCCTAGGTAGTTTGACTCAGTGGATAGAGTGTTGGCCCACAGACTGAAGGATCCCAGGTTTGATTCTGGTCAAGGGCATGTACTTCAGTTGCAGGCTCGATCGATCCCTGGCCTGGTCAGGGAATGTGTGAGAGGCAACCAATCAATGTGATGTCTCTCTCTCTCTCTCTCTCTCATCTTGTTTCTCTCTCTGTCTCTCCCCCTCCCTTCCATTCTCTCTAAAAATCAATGGAAAATATCCTCAGACGATGATTAACAACAACAAAAAAGAAACAAACTTAAGGAAAACGTAAAACAGTGGCAGAAATAAGCAAAACTGACTGGGTATTTGATATACAGGAATTTTTGATCATTTTTTTCAAGTGTAATAATGGTATTGTGACTTAAAAAAGAGTATTTAAAATAAATACTAAAATATAAAGATTTTCTGGCTACTTTAACATATCGATATGGATTAAATACCTTTATAATTGAGTTTTGTGGTTTAAATTTTAAGCACATGGAAGAATGAAAATCTTATGATTCAACAAAGGAAAAGATTCTTTATCTTTTAGAGATATGTGCTGAAATATTTATGAATTATATAAAAATAATCCAGTGGGGGGAGTGGGTGAGAGCATAAATAAAATAAGGTTGGCCATGAATCGATCATTTTTGAAGGTGAGTGGTGGTTTCATAACAAGGGCTTATTACATTATTCTCTTTACTTTTATGTAGTTTGATGTTTTCCATAGTAAAATGTTAAAAAGATCTTCTCTTGAAGTTAAAGGGAAAGGTTATAATTTACATTTGAATAAAGGTTTGCACTTCACAAAACTTTTTTTACAGGCACAATCCCTTTTAGTCCAGGAGAGGGAGAGGGTAGGGTCTAGCCTCACTTTTTAGGCAGAAAGAAGACTGTAACCAACGTCTACCACCTGCCAGGAAATTTCAAATCATTTCACTTAATCCTCCTAAAAATGTCCAGGTCTTTCAAATGCAAAGCTAAAGTTGAAAACC